CTGCTACATCATTTTTAAAACTTGTGTACACATATTATGTGTATTTTTGACTGTATTTATATTATTTTGGTGTATTTATACTTTTTTTTATTATTTATTTCTCTACAATATATATATATGTATTAAATTGTATTAATTATTATGAAAAAACATTAGTAAATAAAAAACAATTTATTTAAGTTTATAGTTCTATATATTCATATGTTTATTCCATTTTGATTTTTTTATTATCAAAATATTGGTATTGACATTTTTAATATTTTGTTACAAAATGTTTACTACTTATATGATAAATTTCGCGAGAGAAAAAGATGATGTAATTTTTAACAAAAAAGAACATAAGTGGGACATGTTGCAAAATAAGAAAGTATACGTCAATACAATGTAATAGAAGTGTAATAGAACTTTGGTCACTTGGACTTCATATTTTGCTAATTAAGTTTTTTTTTGATTCCATAATGTACATATTCATGTCATGATAATTATCTTTGGAATTCATTTATAAAATAACAAATTTTATTGTAATTAGGTACAAATTGTTATTGAAATGAATGAGAATATTATTTACTTGAATTATAAATTCTTAATAATAATAATTTATTGGCCAAACATCGATACATAAGAAGAAGAGAAAAAAAAGTACAATTTAAACATAAATAAATTTTAACATACAATAAAAATATATATACTAATAGGCTGACCCTATAAATTCTTAATTTAACCAAAAATAATTCTAATAATAATATTTATTGAAATAGTAAAATTACAAAATAAAAACTCAATACAATAATATAAATGTCATAAATCGAAAAGTCAACTGCTTCAAAGGGCTATAGACCATAGGCTTCCCGCCAGAAATAATTCTATTATTTTTTTTAATAATTACGAAACTCAAACAATCTTCTTTTAAAATCAGTTTAATATGAATAATTAAAATATTAACGTGTTGTTAGAAAAAAGTGTAATAGAAATGTTAATGTTTAAATAGAAGAAAAAATCAATTTTATAAATTATTATTATATATAAATAAAAAAAATTACTAGTGTTAATTATATTTTTAAATTATTATTAAAATAATGTAATTATTTGAATACTTACAGAATCTGATTTGCGATTTGGTAAATGCGAAAAGGTTAACCAGAATGAACACGAACAATCCAAACACCTTCATTTCTAAGTTTGCTCTGAGCACATCGATTGAAGCCTGTATCGAAATTGCAGCGAACTCCTTACCAACACATTTTTATCCCGTGTATTAAGAAAGACCACCGAGAATGCGCTTCCACGAAAGTGAATTAATTTCATTCGCTGCCCCTCTACCAAACCAAATCCTACCAAACAACGTTAGAACAATATTTTGGTAAAAATTGTAAAAATCCCCTTCAGAAAATTTTAAAAACTCATTGGTTCGATTACGTAGCACTTTCACATCTGCACCAGTTTGCGGTCCGCATTAAACTCTGCCACTATTTATAGTACTTTTTGTTTTTATTCCACTTGTTCAATTGCAAATCGGAAGAAATTTATTATTTATTTTTGCATATAGAGGAAGGAAGTTTGCGCTGGATTGCGGGCATTTTAACTGATTAATGCAGTGAACGGTTACGGTTTTAACTTCGCACAGCGTTTCTCCAGACGATGGAAAATCGTTCGGCTCTTGCAGAGAATATTTGAATAAAATATTCACAAACGTGCAATAATGCGTTTGGCAAATTATGGTAATTATTAAATGGTTTGTTATGTAACAGCATTATACAAATATTATTTAGATTCTTTTGTGTTTCCTTCTTAGGTATTTATTTCTAATCTGGTTTGTTTATAGAATTCTTTGCTAAATGAAACATGACATTTCTTCTACTTCCGTTTAATGAATTGTGATCATGAAAATGGTAACTATTATGTTAAGAGCATGAAATAATACTTACATTTTTCATGATCACAATTCCGTACATATAATTACTTTAAATTACAAAATTATACTAACTCAGGTAATGCTAAATTGTTGGGAATATTCATAACTAGAAATTAAGAATAATTTGGGCATGTCCTCTGCAGAAGAAGAAGTCAAAATGAAGAAAATACAATCTTAAGAAAATACAATAAAGGACAAAGGATGCTGAATTCTTAAGAATTTTAAAAAAATCATATTTAAAATATTAGCTGATCTAAGACATCTATGATATTTAAGAAGGAAAACAACATTTCAATTTGGTGGAACTAGTTCCGTTCCAAAGGGTTGTTCGTAAGTCGAATTTGTTCGTACGTCTGGGGAATTTTAAAAGTTTCAAAATATAATTATCTTACCAAATTTTATCATGGTTTTTACTTCTATATATATTAAATTCCGTATTACTGACTGCATAAATTTGAAAAAATATATTAAAATAAACAAAATATATTTTTCAATGTATACATCACAAATATTTAATAAAAAACGACAAAAGAAACAAATGCAACAAAACAGATAGTACATCTTCCAAAAATATTATATTTTATTAAAGAAATTATCAATTTTTTTATCACTATATATCTCCTTGCAACAAGTTAGAGCTTTTAGAATTTTGTTCGTAAGTCCGGGAGTTCGTAAGTCGAATAATACCTGTATTTGATAAAAAGAATAAACTACAAATTTCATCTTAAAAAAAATAATTCAAACATGAATTAGTAGTTATGAAAAATATTTATCACCGGCGTAAAGTTGGTTGCCAAACTATAAAAAAAAATTGAGACTTTCATGAGACTGTAATATATTTGAAATTAATTATTTATCCAATACATTTTATACTGTACGTATATAATATTTTGACGATTCGTATTATTTGAAATACTGGATATTATAATCATTAACACATGATAAACTAATTATGATGAATTTACTTATGAAGCTTTGATCATTTAAAACAAATAAAACTTTAAATAATTGACATTGATTGTTATTTTGTATATATACGATAATGCATTACTGATATTGAAGCTAATTATTTAATTGTAGTAATTATTTTTGTTTTGTTATTAAAATGTAATAAAAACGAGTCTTTCACAAATGTATTGATTGATGAATATTGTTACTTTGTATATACACGTTAATGCTTTTCTGTTGTTGAAGCAAATGATTTAATTGTAGTAATTATTTTTTGCTATTAAAATGTGAATAGAAACGGAAAGTTCACAATGTATTGATTGACGAATAATAGAAATAATTGATGACGGTGAATCGTACAATTATAAAGTTGCAAATTTGTTTCATAGAGGAAGTGTGGGCAGTCTGGTGCAGTCGATGTGAAAATTGCGGAATTTCGCGTTCACATCATTCAAAGAAAATTATAAATTAATTGAATAACCGCACACTATATTAACTTTCTAATTACAACGTGTTAAAAATTGCCCGACTAGTGAAAAGGAAAAAAAAATAATGCAAGAACAAAACATTATATGTTTACATTAATTTGTTTCCACATGAAATTGCACGCTTTTGTATTCATTTTTTTTATTTTTCTTGTTTCGACCATAATACGAAAGTAATTAAAGCTATTTCTTAATTAATCCTTGACATCCCGTTGTAACTGGGCACAATGCGAGGAAAGAGAAGTGAAGAGAGCAACAACAACGAACAACAAACACTGCTCAGTTTGTTGTCGGTATAGAAAAGTTAGAAGAGTGTTGGAGTCTCGTGAGATCACAGCAAGTTTGCGGCGACTGAAAAGGAAAGTTAGCAAACACCTGCGGTTCATTTGGTCCGTGCACATCAAATAGTAAACATCGATTTTATAAGATAGATTCATTAATAATTTTAATTAAAATTGGATTCGTTGATTTCGAATCATCATGCTGTTAATATTATGCGGTGCATTTTTACTCGTCACCATCGCCAGTGCAGAAACCATAACATCAGTTCGTAAGTCGTACATAATACAAATTATAAAGTGTAATTACATAAGAAAAATTGAGTAAATTATGTTAATCAAATGCATTATACTTTTCAAATTCCTATTGGATTTGAATACTTCCTATTCACGTTTTTTAATCTACAACTACATTGCTAATTTGTATTCGTTAGATCTTTTTTCACCTAATTGACAATTGACAATTGATCATTTTATTATTGAATTGAATTTTTTTTTGAATATTAATATTTATTTGCAAAAATTTTATACATTTTGAGTAAATGTTGATCAATTGAAGATTTCTGATCAGAATAATACTGAAATATTTATTTACATTACTATATTTTTTTTTGCAATCATTCATCTATTACAATTTTTTGATAACATATTTGATTTGAATCAGCGAAAATATTGTAAAATTCATATAAATAAATTTGCAATTTACGGTTGTACAAGGAAGGAAGTTAATATTTTTTAATGCATTAATTAGGAAATAAGGAAACAATTTCTCTCTCCCCTTTCATCCGATCGTTCATCATCTTTTTTCCCCTTTAAGCCGATTACTTTCACCGCAATAATATCCACATAAATGCACATGCAACGCCAACAAAATCAAAACAAAAACTGCGTAAACATTGGAAAGCGTTAGAACATTGACTCCTCATTCCTAAAGGAAAGCAGTCATAACGCCTTTACATTCATATAAGTCACTTCGGAACCGATCATTGTGATATCATCAATAATCCATTATTTCTATCCGATCGTTGCATAATTGCGTCTCTAAGGTAAACGAAGTGACGTGATGCAACGATGTTAATGTGTGTGGTTAATTGCATGGGAGTCTGTGCGTAGTTTCGTCGGATTTAGCAAGAGTAATAACCTAAGGTTGTCCTCGTTTTCGATTCTCTTGCCGGGTGTTTCATAATGCGCTCATGAGAACGCTCGATTGCATTTGCGAAATTTGAAATTTAACACGCAGCCTCTTTCCTATCCACTACTCAAGAATGTTCTTGTGACTTTCGCAGCACCGTACGTTAAGCAATGCCACGAAGGGGATGCCCAAATAATCAACTGCTTCATAGGAGCTCTGCACCATCTGCAGCCATACCTAGCCGAAGGAATCTCGGAAATCGAACTTCCTCCGGTCGAGCCTTTTAGAATGGACGAGTTGTCGCTCTCCTTGACTTCAGGACCGAACGGATACAAAGTCACCTTATCCGATATAGACGTTTTCGGAGCTAGCAATTATACCGTCACGAAAATGAAGTATTTATACTTATAATATTATTTTTTTAATTTGTACTCATGATAATTTGTGGATTTTTTGACCACCCAGCAATTCCAGAAACTAAATTATGTCATGTTATATTCAGAATTCGGTTGTTTGCATAATATACACATAAGTATTCACAGACAATTAGGAAGAAGCGTCGAGCAGAGCGCAGTGTTAAATATTAATGTCCAACATTAAAAATAACCTTAGAACATAAACAATAACATTATAATGGCTTTTTCATTGAAATGGAAGTCGTTATTGTAATTGAAAAAAACAGAGTATTTGACCTCATATTATGTTGAAAATTGACAGTTAAAGGTGTTTAACTCTTATGTGTGTTTGCAGGTTGAGTGAAAATGGCAAGCCGTTCGAGGCGAAGATCAAAATGCCAGAGCTTCGATTGACTTCCAAGTATAAAAGCAGCGGTGTTCTCTTAATCATTCCGGCAAGTGGAAATGGAACTTTTAATGGGAAATTTCGTAAGTATTATTGAATTAAAGATGTTTTATTTAATAAATCCATGAATATTTGGTATACATTTTAACTTAATTTTATTTAAATTGCAAAGATATTCTATGATTTAAACGATTCATGTTCTTGCGTAATTAAAAAATTGTCTAAAAAACATCCACCTTATAATAAACTTAAACCTTAAAAGCCTGATTTATATTTTGAATATAACTTTTGTTTATGTAATACATACATCCAAATATTAAAAATTATTATTGAATGTGTACAATACGATTTAAAAGTTCGGAATCAAAATTGAAACTTATTTTATTAAAAAAAATTGGATAAGTTTACTTTCAACTTGGATTTTTATATTTACTAAAATCTTAAATACTCAATGATTTAAAAGATTTATGTTATTGAATAATCTTTTAAAACGTAGATATTATAGCAAATGTTCTGCATTAATATTAATTATAAAATCAATGATATCAATAAAAAATTTAGTTATTTTATAATAACAAGAAAAATCTAATTTTCTTATATGTTTCAGAGGATGTTACAGCTGTAGTGAAAGGAACTGTAGGCTTCAAAACCAAGGATAATCAAAGATACATGCACGTGGATACTCTAATGGTGGATATTGACATTAAGCACGTCAGAATGGCTGTAAAAGATGTGTACAGAAATAACAGGATCATAGGTAAATCCTATTTATTTATTAGTATTTCTAAATGAATGTTAACTATGCTATTAGAAAGAGTTGCAAGATAAATATTAGAGTAAAAGTAAAAGGCTTGATGGCTGTTTGCTAATATTAAAAATAGCAATCATTTCACTATATATTAAGAGGGTTTCTTTCCAATTAATCTTTAACATTTTTAACTTTATGTATTTTGTGCAGTATTTAGGCTTGTTATTTTAGCAAATTATTGAAATTTCAGTTGGAAAATGTTACATATACAATTAGTATCGGCAACACGCTTAACTTGGCTGTCTAAAGTCAATCATTTTTAAACAAGTAATTACTGTTTCTATAATTACAAATGTTAATATTGAACTAATTATAAATCGGCACTCATTTAAATATGCAATTATCATTTAAGTGAAAAACTAATAAATATTTCAATATAAAAATATATAAAATTTGTGATTTACAAAAAAATCATTAAATAAAATATCGAATATTGTGATATAATTTTAATAATTATACAATTGTGACACCATTACAGATCGACTTATATATTTTATTGTACTAATATTTTATTTGTTTTAGGTGAAGCGATGAATCTTTTCTTGAGAGAGAACGGACAGGAAGTTGTTAAAGCCATGTTACCGCAACTGCGAAGAAAACTATCAAATTTATTCCAAAGCATTTCCAATCAGCTGTTAACACATTTACCGGTGGATATATTCTATGTGCCGAAAGTGGCGTAAAGATGATCTAAACACGAAACGTACGAATGTACGGTTTCTTGCGGTTGCGCTCTTCCATAAAGATACAACCAAGGAGACTTGTATTGTTTGTTCAACGTTTGTCATCGCAAATTATATTTTATTATTATTAATATTTAATTAAATAGGCGTAAGTAGTGATATTAGCGACGTTTATTATTTCATTTTTAGAAAACAATGTTACGTTTTTTTTAATAAAATATTATCTTACACAAGCTGATTATTATGCTTTAAACACCGTGACATTATCAACTTGCACGTGGCCTTTCCTAGAATATAATTCACTGTGAAGAAAATCTGTATGCATAAAGTGGACAAGTTCTATGGTTACATAAGAGAAAAAACATTTATTAAAAAAATAGAATTATTTACAATCAATTTTTTTATTATGTACCTCGCATAGTGCGGGTAATTGCTAATATCCCGGACTGTTATAACCACTAATGATAAATTAATAACTTACAAAAAGCCATTTGACTTTATAAAGGAAATGAACTTAGAATTTAGTTTTGCTCAATTAACAGTTTGGTTTCAAACCAGATTATAATAAATCTGCACTGATCAAAGCTGGAAAAATTTCAATTCTATATATACAATTTTGCTTCATACACAATCACTCAAATTCCTCTTGATATTGTGCATAGTAAGTATTGTATATTGAGGACTTACTCTCTCTTCTAAAGTCCAAAGTATCTTAACTACGTCTTAAGAGTAAGATCATAGTCCATCTGTAGTTTTTTTTAAATAACTGGACTTTGTTACAATTTGATTTGAATCCATTTGATAAAGAAAAATTTAAAAAATTAAAACAAATAAAAAATTAGTAAATTTTTCCATATTTGTATCATAAAATTTATGAATAGTATTTTGAATAAATATGTGTATAAATTTAATTATTTAGTAATAATTACCAATAATAAATATATTAAATTTAGAAAATGCTTACAATTTCAGGTTTAATGATAAAATTCCTGTAAACAAATAAAATAATTAATTGGTGAAATTCGAACTATAACAAGAGATTGTTTGCGATGAGTGAAAGTGACGTTTTTTTATGGATGCGTGTTTGTTAGTAATTATTATTTGTTGCTTTTCTTTTAACGCAAATAATTTTTTATTCACTTTCTTTAGAATCGCATGCATTTTACAAAACCAAACACGAGTATTCGATTCGATGCACAAATACAATTTTTGTTCATAAATAATCAAAGAATATCGGACAAAAGTTATTTGAATATTATTATATGCTAAATAATTGTATACATAGAAAGTCATTAAATCAAATTACAGTGGGACCTCAGTTTCCGAACATAATTTCAAAACAAAAAATGTATTCCAAACAAAACATTCTTTTTATTTAATTTAAAACAATTTAAATATACAATTTAATTATAAATGATGTAGATATTAAATATAAGTAGGATGTAAATACCAAATAATGCAATTTTAATATGCAATTATCAAGAAAAGCACGAAAGTAGCAGGTTTTCTTGCATCCATTGTTAAATCTTCATTTAGTAAAATTAATTGCATTTTCGTGTTAATGACAATTTGAGTCCTTCGTCGGGGATGGACGAAATTAACATTCATAACGAGACGAGCTTTTGTTTATAAGACGAGTCGAAGAGCCCCACCTCGAGTGAGAGACTAACAAGTCACGGTCAAGTTTGTAGGAGGTCAGTTGTCGAAGAGACTTCTTCAGAAGCAGAGGAACATACACATCAACTAATCATGGATAAGAGATTTATATTCAATCTGATCACCTTTCTGGTCACAATATTTGCAAGTGTTCAAGCAGATAACCGTAAGTTATATTTGTCTAATAAATTTAAATAATTTTAAAAATTAATTTGTTAATCAAATTAATTACATTCTTATTTAATTAAATAATTAAATACTAAGCTCATTAATATTTCGTTATCAATTAAACTATTTGTAATATAATTTATTAAAAAATGAAAGGGTTATTGACCACGTTGATTGTGTCTTATAATATATAAATAAAACATAACTGGTTATATTAAGAATCCTATTATAATGCTGTTGACCTACGTTAAGGTAAAAATTCTTCTTAAATACAGACGCAGGGGCAGAAGGAAATTAGGTCATGGACCTTGAGACGCATAACTTAATCAATTACCTCTTTTTTATTCAATACCGTTAGCACCATCTTTAATGACTTTCGAACATTGTAAGAATGGGCCAATGAATACGCTTTACCGTTAACCGTTACCAGGTTTCTGTGTCTGGACATCAGACTGTATAAAACTGCTATATTCAAATGAACTTCAACAGTAAAAAAATGCATAAATTAAATTTACTAAGAACTGTAATATTGAAAAATGGTTAGTTTATTTCTATATAACATACAGAAGAAAATAGTTATTTAGGTTACTTGTTACATCCGAAACTTGTTAAAGCAAATAGAGAAGAACAAATATTGTATATAAGAAAATCTTTTTGGACGTAGGAATATTTAGAATTACAAGAATTTACTACTTATTTAATAATTATTAAATTAATTCTAAAATATTTAATAATGTTGACGAATCATTAAATTAGATAAAATCTTAATGTTATGTAATCTGAAGGTTATTTATAGAATAAAAGTACGCCCTTTTAATTTCACTGTTTGTATGCTCGCACGCATCAGACTTGGCCCTGACCATGCGTTTCAAAGGTATTGAAGAATAAAGAAAACATCGAGTTGAACAACACTCAATGTCACCCATAAAAATCTTCTAAAGAAAATATAAAACTAAGTGCTGTAAAGATATTGAAGAATAAATCACTCATAAAAATACGATATCCTCTTAAAGTATAAGCTCTTCATTGAAGAGTTTTAATTTACAACATCATAAGGGGCTTAGGAATAAAAGTTATGAATTTCATTTAAAATACGTTTACAGGAAAAAAAAAATAAAAAGGAGAAAGCGGCGAACTTAAAGTGGCAATAATATTTTAAAATTCACAAAAAAAAACCTTTGTGCAAGTTCTTCAGGTTTATTATTACCGACTCTTTCAATTTTTTTTTTCTTTACAGAATTTTACTACTTGAAGAAATGCTACAAGTCGGATCCAGAGGTAAACGAATGCCTGAAGCGTTCCTCGAATTATTTGATTGCGAATATGCGCCAAGGAATCCCAGAATTGAACATGTACGAACCAGAACCTATCATCATTGATGAAATCGGTATCGCTTTAGGTAATGGACCGGATGGATACAGAGCTTCATTTAGGAATATCAAAGCTTATGGAGTTAGCAATTTAACAATTACTGCTGTTAGGTAAAACAAAATATATATTTTAGCTTAATTTGAGATGATAATTACTTTTTTCTATATGGTTATAGGTCTGACATTGAAAGCAATCAATTCCAATTCACGTTCTACATTCCGCACATTTCCGCTAGAGCTTTATACGAATCTACCGGTGTTCTAATTTTAGTTCAAGCAACTGGAGGCGGTTCATATTGGGGAGAATACGGTTTGTTATTCAATTACCTGTAACTCTATACATTATTAACAATTCTTTACTTAATTAGAGGGAGTCAAAGCTAAGGTGTACATCAAAGCAAAACCGGTCGATTACCAAGGGAAAACTTTCCTTTCCTTACAACAGATTAAGATGGACTTCAGCGTAAAAGACATTAAAATGGGCGTCGAAAACGTTCACAATGGAAATTCCGTTATCCGTAAGTTATTTTCAAACAAACTCTTTAAATTATTCTACAACTTACATTAATTTCATTGTAGAAGCCGCATTAAATCTGTTCATTAATTCAAACGCGCAAGATTTGCTCAAAGAGATGAAACCGGATTTGAAGAAGAAACTGCTGATGATTATGAAGAACTTCGTTGAGAATCTTTTTAGCAATATTCCGTACAACGAATGGATCTCGGAATAATTTTAATTTATTAATTTAATATTGTATAAAGTGATATCATTTTTTTTTATAAAATAAATATTTATTGAGATTTATATAGAAAATTACTTAATTTCAATGCGGTTACGTAAATTGCAAGAAAATTTGTGCATGCGATTAAGTATTTAGTATAAATGCACGCAACTCTTTCAATAACATTTATTTACTTAATTAAGTTAAATAAATGTTTGTGACTGACTGTAACTACATATTTTATTCAATTAACTTTTTAATTAATATAAATTAAAATTTACTAATTAAATTCTCATATTATTCAATGAACAATAAACTGAAAACTGTATATTTAATACATGTTTGTAATTGATTTTTTTTGTTATCATTAAAGTAATTGATTAAATTCAATAAAACTTTGTGATTTTAGTTCAATACAAATATTGTTTAAGTATTTTCAAGTTAAAATAATAGGTTTTAACAATTAGTTTATTCATTGAGATTTTAAACTAAATTATTAGTATTATTCAATTACTGTAATATCCTATAAATGTTTATAGTTTTAAGCTTGTTGCTAAAACAAAATAATTTATTAAATTAATTAATTTTGTAATTGGGATTCCAATTAAATTAGAAGATTATTTAATGAGTAATAAATAGAAAAGTAAGTTTACTTTCTTAAGAGAAACTTCGTTTTCTGAGGTAAAAATACTATAATGGCGTAGGTTCAATCATAAGAAAATGAAAAGCTTTTGTTTTAGAACATAAATTTTTTTGCAATTAAATTTCGTAAATTAGGATAATTTTTCACTAAAAAAAGTAATGAAATTTTAGTAATAAATAGCATTAATAGAATGTATTTGTAAATAATCTTACCTTAATTTCATTTAAAAAGCTGCAGATTCATGATTAAATCAAGTGCTCGTGTTTCGATAAATGAAACGTAATAAGGTAATAGAAACAATGATATGAGTGTGATTGAAACACCTTGGAATTTGGGTGGAGTTAATTTTGTGGTTGACAAATTTGGTTAATTAATAAATGACAATGTTTTGTGCGAATAATTGGAATCAAAAAATCGTTTCGTGCATTGAGCCATTTAAAAAAAAAACATGCGCTGACCTTGATGAACGGAAATAGTAATTACATATTAGAAAATCTTCTATAAAAATTGGTGAGCCCACTGGAAAACTACAGTACGCCTATTAACCACCAGAAAGATGGACCGCGCATTGTTCATGTTTGGATTAGTTGCAGTTAGTACAATTTCCTACTGTTCTTCAGCTGAAATCCGTAAGATGATAATTTGAATATTTCAACGTAGTTTATTATTGGTGCAATTTTCATTAGCGGAGTTCCTGAAGGTCTGTAAAAGAGATGAACCCAATTTGACGGAATGCATTAAACATGCGCTGGAAGAGATACGGCCGTACTTGAAAAAAGGTAAAACTTGAAGATTGTTGAAGATCCATAACTTGGAGTTATTATTAATAGGTGTACCTGAGCATAATATTCCGAGCGTCGAGCCAATCATCATTAAAGATTTAATTAGCGAACAGTCTGGAGGTCTGAAGATTACTACAAGCGATGTGGTAGCTTACGGAGGAGGAGATTATATAGTTAACGACCTAAAGTACGATGAGTTTAATTTGTTGTTTTGGTGGTTTGTATTAATCTAAGGCATATTTAAGAGTGGATATGGAAAACCATAGGTTTGAAATAGACGTTCTCCTTCCAAAATTGATCGTCGATGCGAAATACACATTGGACGGTAAATTGGTTTTGGTACCGATCAAAGGAAACGGAGATTTTCATGCTAATTTAAGTGAGTATTTCTGATAGAATTAAATTAAAAAAAATAAATTTTAAAATTCCTAAACAAATATTTTTTAGCTGATTGCGAAGCAAAACTTATACTGAACAGTGAGCATTATGAAAAGGATGGAAACCGTTACGTAAGATTTCTCGTGACTGATGGAATGCTGAAAATTAACGTCGGCGGAGGAAAAGTCAAATTGGATAACTTGTTTTCAGGAGATAACGTATTAAGTGAGCAAACAAATATTAATTCACAATTGAAAAGCAAAGAAAAAAAACATAAATTAATATTTTTTTTTTGCAGATGACGTTATCAATGATATAATCAACAAAAACCTGTCAGTTTTTGTCAAAGAGATACTTCCTTTCATAGAGAAAGCTTTAGCCAAAAATTTAATCACCACCGGAAATCAAATTATCGAACCGTACACGATCGAGCAACTTTTCCCTAAATAAATTATGAAATAATTGCGATCATAACCGTATCTTGTGTGAATTGAATTTTGTAATAAAATATTTAAATAACAATTTACTCTATTTATAACAGAATAAAAATACTATAACATGTTTACACGAAATAATACAGTAGAAGGAAAATCACATAATTTGTTTTTAGTTTTCCGGGAAAACTTCTTCGTACGAGAAATTCTTCACGATTTTATTGGCAACGTCTAGAAGGTATTCGGAAGCCTTAGTTTGGATGTACGGGTTGGCGAGTTGCAATAAATCTTTCTTGTTTTGGTTCAACATATTGTTGATTCCATCAGCTGTAAAAAAAATCATAGATTAATACCATTTGTAATTGGTAAATTATATTGGAAAACTTACTTAAGACTTGATCGTTTGCGAAAAGATTATCCAAATGAAGATTGTAGTCGCCTATGGTCAGGTTGATGGTAAGATCAGTGAAGTGCATTCGCTGTTCTCCTCCAGTTTCAATGATATCTCCTTTAAGAATTCCAATGGCTTCGCATTTGGCTGAAAACAATAAGATTAATTATATGACGTTTCGATTAAGATTCATTAATTAATCTCATTACTTGCGTTCGCGTTGAATCTACCGTCACCTTTGACAGGGAATGCTAACAACTGAGCATCAACGACGTAATCACCGATTAACTGAATTCTTGGGAAGCTTATAGAGATTTTGTAAGTGTGATTTGGAACATCTAATCTGTAATTCAATAATCATTTATATAACTATCAGAGGTGGTACAAAAAATGGATGGGTATAAGTATTTGTGGGCCACATGCAATTTTGTATTTAGAGGAAAAGTTGTTTTTTAGTTTACAAGTTTTGTTAATTAAAAAACAACTTCTTTATATCCTGAGGGTACTCTTGACCCGTGTACTATACCAATATTTAATATACTATTCTATAATAGTACAATTTGTTATTGTTTTAGGTAAATTCAGTATTTGTGAAGGATTAACAACATAACTTACTTAAGATTGGATAAGTGGAAATCGCTTGTACCAAATACGTCGACGTTATTTAATTCAAGATTGAAGTGAGACGCTCCTAAATCTCTGGTAACTTTTATATTTGATATCCTCAAAGGCTCCATAGATGGAACATCAAGTTCAGGTATTCCAGATCTTAGTTTGGGTCTTAAACTTTCAACTGCTTCCATCACGCATTTACTCACTTTTGGATCAGACCTTTTGCACGTGTGAATATAACTGGCTGAAAATAATTAAAATATTCCTATATCCATTACAATAGTCTAATCCAGTGTTACTGGATCTGTGAGTTGCAATGTAAAGATGAGTTTCGTTATTTTTTTTGTGAATTGCGAAATGACAATTATCACCTTGCGTGAAACTGATAAACTGGAGAAAAACTCATAGCAAATTTGGTCGCAGTACAACTAAAATCATATATGTTGCTGAAAAAAGGTTGAGAAACGCTGCTCGAATCTCTCAATTGTAATCAAAGTTTTTTTATAACATAATTTAATAGTTAAACGTTCAACTTGATGACTATAATTGTATCTATAATTAACCTCCAATAGCTGATGAATAAACAAATGAACAAAAGGGAAATGTAGAAAATAACAATATCTGTTTACATTGCAGACTCAGGGTCAGATTTTATATTACATGGATTCTTCTTGTAATTAAATAATTTATCTTTTGTTATATAATTTCATAACTCTATAAAATTTATCAAAAAATCAAAGTGTTATTTGTTACCATAAAATTTTAAATGAAATATCTAAATAATTATATTTGCATAATTCCAATTTAATACTACAAATAGTAAATAAACAATTCGTGTTAGAAATATATGCAATTATCATGTTTACATTTTTATATAATTGTAATAATTAACGACAAAAATGTATTGCATGTTCTGATTTAATAATCAAATGTATACTCTACTTACGTATATTTGCTGATTCAGCAAAAACCATGAATGCGAAGACAATTAATACTTTTCCCAACATTTTGTATCGTTCTGGATGTAGATGCAAATTAAATCTGACTGCATTCTATGGAATCCTATTTATACTTCGGCCGGGGAAAATAAGCGACTGACGTACTGCGCAACAGATTAAAATTTGTAAATAATGATGGAACTGCCTTTATTTGTGTTTAGAAAAAGGAAGCAAAAAAAGAAGCAAACAAATGCAGGAAAGAAACACAAAGAATGAGAAATTAATATGACCTTAAGATTTAAACATAGAGGAACCAAATTATCATTGGAGTCAGCCAAATAAAAGTAAATAAACATTAATAATTTCATGATGGATTTTTATAAGTAATTTGTGCAAGGTTATATAAAGTAATTTAGGGTTGATTTACATGTTTTTTTTTTATAATTATATACAATATGTGTTTGGAAATTTTATTGAAATCAAGAATAATTAAAACTAGTTATAATTTATTAGCAGAAATGTGAGACTAAATTAAATAATGGAAAAACGTGAACCTTTGGAACTTCGGACAAGTTTTTTTTAATTGCCAAGTTTAACTGGTCAATATTTTTTTTGTCTTTTTCTAATTTGTTGTATAAGTTTGTATTGAATTTAGTTATATCCTTAGGCGATTATCGTTAGTAAAATTACTATATCAAGGTTAACACTTTGTACACTCGATGAATACCAAAAAGATCACAATAATTCTTTGCAGTAGACAAAGTTTATTACCTGATTGGTTCTGAACATGCACTAGAATAATAATTATATCGTACGTTTACAATGTATGTTTTGTTTACTAAAGTGAGGAATAGAAATAACTAAAACTATTTAATTTTATAATAAAAATTATTATTAAAACCTTTGTTTATGTTAAAAAACTACAAATAACTTCCTATTTTTTGTGTATTATGGAGCATCTAATATCAAAAGTAAATATACAAAATAATTTTTATGTCAATGATGATTGAATCACATAAATGAATAATAGTTGTTTTTAACTTTTCATCAAATACAAAATAACCTGAATTATTACCATAAAATTCATTAGAATGTTTCAAACCAGACAACTTTTTAACATTTCCATTTATAATATATTCAATATAAAGAAGCATACAAAATTTCTTAAATTATTGTTAAAACTATTTACATATTGATAATATAAAACAGAGATACAAGTTATTTTTATTTCGTTATTTCGTTGCGCAATAATGAAGATAAACATTGCATAATTACGAAACATGTCCAGCATCTATAATTAGTGTATTCATTTATGCAGAAACCGCAGCAATCACACTTCACTATTTGTCGAGTTAATTTCCTTATACGAACGCCGGGTTTTCCGTGCGTTAAAAAAATCAATTATAGATGAGTTTCTTCCGCACTTCGTATTTGTTCAATAAAAATGCATGACGGACAATTTGAGAATCACAGATAATTAAATATGCAACGATTTGAATCATCGTTGCTCATAAGAATAGCTCTTTATAGGTAAACCTCAATGTTATCCTATTGGCTATGTCTGTCAATTTCTCGGAAAGTGCGTTTTCCAACGACGGCTTTATTTCGTTGATGAATATGTCAATGTTATCGTTGACTATTGCGTTCGTAGCGTCGCCGAGAAACTTATCTCCGTTGAATAAGTTTTCCAAACGCAATTGGGCCGCCCCCAAACGGACGTTCAATTTCATTTTATCGAATTTTAGATATTCCTCTCCGTTTTGCATAATTTTGTTTCCCTTCATGAACACGTCTACTGCGTAATCAGCTGTGTAAAATAAAAGTATTTAGTTATTTTTTTAAGTTTAATTACTTTATGTTTATCTTACTGAAGTTTCCGTAGATTGGGCCGTTTCCTTGCAAAGTAATGAAGAGTAGGTTCATGTTAAGTTCATATTTTCCGCCGAATTCTAGCCTGGGAATCTTCAATTTGAAAGTGAACGTATTCGATGGAATATGCGCTCTAGAATAAAAAAAGTAAACATTGCAAACATCTAAAGAAATTTGTAATATATTAATTTTTTTTTAACTATTACTAATTTAAATTGTGAATACCTCGCATAGTGCGGATTTGAAAATTTCAAAACAAACTAAATTTTAATAGATTGTTTGAAACTCTAAATCTAGTGCGGTTTTATACAGTACGGGATATTGATAACCTGCACTATGCGAGCTTTTCCTGTATTTGAAACAACCTTAACTCAATATTTCATTATATTTACTTTAAGTCAAAAAAAACTTACTTTAATTCGAGGATTTGGAAACTTGAAGCTCCAAAAACCTTCAAATCGGTAATATTAGATTGAACTCCTCTTCTTAGCCGAATCGCGTCCAAATGCAGAGGTTCCATTGCCGGTACATCCAGTTCGGGAATGCCGCCTCGCAGCTTCGGTTTGATCTCGTTTATAACTTTAACTATACATTTTGAAATCTCTGGATCGTTAGCTTCGCAGACGTGAATATAATTGGCTGAAATTGGAATACGCATTGAATTACTACGAAAGTTATCTAGATGTCAACGATAAGCAATTATTCGCAACGGAAAAACCTGCTTAAATCATTATTATTTTCTTTTGCATGTCAATGCCACAGATGCACATCCTTGTAGCAAAGATTAACTTACGTATTACTGCTGTTGCGTGCGATAGAAATATCAGAAAAAGTACGCCTTTTATAAAACACATCTTCGGTTTCGTCGTCTTCAATATTGTAGCTTCACTTTTGGGGACTTCTTATATATATATATTGCTTTCAGGCCTTGAAACCGTGGATTACTTCGATAGAATATTAATTGATCGAGTGATCAAAGCGGACTCGATTTATATCAATAGCATATTAATTTCTCAACTACATAAGTAAGATGCAAGATCACAGTTTCTTTTAAAAGGTATACGTAGTATAATTTTTATTGATTATTTTTTAACGTTTAATAGTATGTTTATTCTATACTTTAAAATTAAGAATAATTTGCATAAAATCGATCTAATATTTTTCAAATCTTTAAATTTAAAATGAGATGTTAATGTGTAGTTCATTTTTATAAATAAACCGAATTGTAACGCAATAAAGTTTGCAATAGTAATACTTTCCAATGGTTATTTCTAAACGTTCAATGCTACGTAAAAACATTAGTTGAATATTTATTGTGTTGATTATCTTAAATAATAGTAGTAATACCTAATGATGTGAATAGGATTATTCTCTAAAACCTATTGATCTATATATTTCGTTTCTTATTGAATACTATTCCTTTGTATATTAATATATCACCCATCTAAAATATAAAAAAATACTTAACTTTGAAAGATGTAAAACATCCAGTACTTATTTAACCGAATATTATACGTACATTTATTAATTAGATGCAAACAAAAATGTTAACAAATTAAAACTAATCAGACATTATATGTATGTTAATATACTATATAGATTGAAACCTTTTTAGTCCAGTAATTGAAACCAGATTTGGGTTACATTTATAGTACAATTATTGAAGATTAATCTATAAAAAAGTTAGAACAAATACTATTACTACTAAGAAATTGTTTACAAATGATACTAATTAAGATTAAATACTTGATTTTTTTAAACTTAACACTTTTATGAAGCAACTGTTCTAATTATAAAAAAAAATGTAGTTTATATCAACACAATTTGATTTAAAATAAATATTTTACTAATATGAAATTGGGTTACAGTAAGGAAGACAAAAATAAAGAATAAATCAGTAAGTTATTAAAATATGTATTATCATAGATAGATTATACAAATTATTACACGACAATGAAACAAAATTGAATATTTTTGTTTTAAATTTTAATTACATACATATATATATATAAAATGAGTTTCGTTAATGTTTGGGGGGTATCAATTAAACAATAAAATAAATATTTAACAAAGTTGTAACTTAAAATCAAGGAAATAATATGTTTTTTTTTCTAGTTATATAAAATATGTACAATATAATATGAAATGTTTTTGTTTGTTTTAAACTTTTGTTCGCGAACCGTCACCTAGTTGTGTGTATGTTTATTTATTTATTTATGTTTTGTGTGTGTCTGTTCATTTAATCATTTATTCTATGCGTTATTGGCACAATTACATTACGAAATTTAACGTTCATTAAAAAATAAATGGTTTGTATATATTTTTTTTTTATTTATTTCTCATATATTTTTCCTTATTATTCGTGACTAGCGGTAATATTAAAAAAAAAGAAGAAGAATCGATTGGACGGAGCTGTAAGGGCGCTTCGCACGGAGTGATTTGTGCAATTGATGGAATTTCGGTTGGTTGGTTGGTGAAAGTTTCTTTTTTTTGTTTGAAACTCGGTCGATTGCACAGATTCATTTGGCTCCGTGTCAAGTGGCCTTTCGCAAATACTAAATATCTTAAAGACTACTATATTTATAAATTGAATAAATTTAACAGGAATATATTTATATATATATAAAAAAATGCATTTCTTATAAAATACATATACAATATTTACACTCTACACACATCAATCAATTGGTATACAATAAAGAATAAAAACGAGGAAGTCTCGGAATATACACAGACAGTTTCGTGGATTTTTACCTCCTCCTCCATTGACTTAAGGTACCTAATATTTTGTTTCGTTCGTTTAGTGTGCTTTTTTTGTTTTGTTTATTAATCCTAGATACTATAGAATGAATCAATAAGGTAAATCGGAAATATCACTTTCCTCTCAAGATATTGAATTTCAGTCTGTTCTAACTTTCATTTTTTTTTAGCCCTATACTATCTAGGATTAAGCGCAACATACCAAATACTTTTTTTTACATAACTTATCTCTAGATTACGCGCTGTTACGTCGAATTATTTCGCCACCTATTGTATTCAGGATCCATCGCCTGATATCAGTATTTATCGAGGTGTAAATCGATGGGTGACGGCTCCTGCCGCAGTTTCCGTGATGGCTCAGAATACCTTGCAGCTCCCAGCTGCTTGTAGGTTCAGAGAAACACATCAGTGGTGATCCTTCGTCATTCTAAATAATAAAAACAAAGATGATTATTGATTGCTCTGTCAATTAAAAATTGGTATTTCTTACATAACATGGAGTTTTCTCTGAGCTAGTGTATCCGGCGCAAATTTTATCCTTCGTAAGATGCCCATTGTAATGTTTGGTTGAGTTGCATTCAGACATTTCTATGGTAGGAACTGGCAAGTAGTTGAGGTACCGTTGCACATTAGGCTCTAGAATTGAATCCAGCATTTAACATCTTCCTAAGATATTTTTAAATTTTATATATTACCTCCTGGTTTATTAACTCCCCAGCCTGCAGTCACGCATAGCTGTCTATCTTCAATTCCTTGATCTGGAAGGCAAATAGCGCTGACGTTTCTACCAGGAATCAGAGGTTCAGTGAGCTCTGCCAAAACGGCGTCGTTGATGTATTCAAATTGTGCATATTTAGCCTGAAATATCCAATAAATCAATAAAATTGTTTAAGCATAAATTTATCAATTAATTACCTGTGGATGAGAAATGATCCTCTTGATATTTCTAGCTTGAGTCGTGCTATTTCCGGCATTATTGAAGAATTTGGTGCCACCTGCATACAAAGTCCAATCTCCTGGATTGGTGCTCGTGGTATGTGGTTTAATATTGGCAATGCAAGAGTAACTAGCAATGACCCATTTTGTTGCAATAATACTTGCAGTACACTTGATGTTGTATTTCTTGTTGTAGAGGAGTGCAACACTGGTCCATTGGGATGTAGTGGAACTACTTCCTCCGATAATCCTGGCCGATTGAATGTCCAAAGTCGAATGACTTCCGCAAGCTACGATTTTAATGTTAAAATTTTAAATTAACTCACTTGAATGTCAAACTTACTGAATTCCTGACAAGTTATAGAAACTAAGCTTTCGCACTTGTCTGAAACAATATCAAGTTGCTTGATGATACTAGCTCCGAATGCCGGAGATTCTTTCAGTTTATAGTATTTTTCTGAATCGGTGGACGGAATAAATTCTGTATGCGTGGAAGCAGCGAAACCCAAATTTTGACAAACCATGTTGGAGTAAGTGTTATTCCAGTTATCACTGCAAACTGGATACCAAGTTTTGTTTGAAGTGAAAATCTAAAGAATAAATGAATTAACATACTATTAAATAAATCACTATATTTAAAATAATTTACCTCTAAATTATGCGTGTTGGATAATGTCTGCAAATTTTCGGTTCTCATGCAATTCCATTCATCAGAATTATCGGCACACTGTTCGATGCCATCACACCTTTGATCTAATTGAATACATCCACCGCCCATTGAGCATTTGAATTGATCAATTCCGCACTCTGAAAATTGCATGAATGTAAATTGTAATCTCTTGCTTGTGGTTTATTATAACATACCACAGAGTTTTTCGTCTTCGTCGTTACCACAGTCAGCTTTACCGTCGCATCTCCATGTGGCTGGAATGCAGGTGTTCTGTTCGATGCAATGAAACTCGTCATTTCCACATTCTTGCTGATGACAGTTCTTTTCATCGCTACCACCTGGACACTGGGCTTTCCCATCGCATTTCCAGGACAACGGAATACACCTTTGAGAATCCTCGCACGAGAATTCATCGAAGCTGCATTTCCATGAGTCGCAATTCATTTCATCGCTTCCATCGTTGCAATTAAGTATACCGTCACAGACTAAATCGCGTTTCAAACATTGACCGCTTGTACACTGCAAAATTAATAACCATAATTAATAAATATTTAATAAAATCATTAATTATACGACTTACTTGAAAATTATCTGGGCATCCTTCAGCAATACATCCTTCTTCATCTGAAGCATCTGAACAGTCATCAACAGAATCGCAACGATCGTTTCTTGGGATACAATAGCTACCATCCTTCAGTGATGTTCCGTTGATACATTGGAATTGTCCGGTTGCGCATCTCGAAAATCCTCCTAAACTAAATCCTTCAGTCACAGGTTTGACAGCATCAAATTTTTCAACCTTATTCTTCTTTTTATCTGGGAACGTCGACTTCTTATTAGCTTTATCATAATTAATCTTTGTATTAATTTCGTCTGTGGTTTCTTCACTAACTGGTAACGCTTCGGTCGATGCTACAGTCTTCAATTCATTTTCTCCGTGATTGATTTTTTCTTCAATCTGAAGATCTCTGGTTATATCGTTTAAAGATTCCGTCCTCTCCAATTTGTTAAAATCATCGTCGTGTCTCTTCTTATCCATCTTGGAAGGTTCTTCTTCTTTTGCAGGTAGAGGAATTACGGATAAGTAGGATTCATCTTTATCATCGATCAGCAATTTATCTTGCAATAATTCTTCAGGCACACTCGTAGATTCTATAGTACTTTGGGTTACTTTCTTGAGCAGTAGAGTTGCTTCAGTCGAAGGCTCCGACGCAACCTCAAATACTTCATATTGATGCGATTTAGTTGATTGTTCAATCTTAGCCTCTTCGTTTACTACATTTACAGTTTCAGTCACAGTATGTATAATTTCAGCGTTTATTTTTGCACCTTCCTCAAAATCGTTAATTTCAACTTTCGGTTGCTCCTTAATCCCATAAGTTGTTGTTTCCATGGCAATTAAATCTTCGGTGCTAGAGAAAACTTCTTTAAATTGATTTTTATTGGTTGTTGAAATAACCTCTTCGATAATTGGTTTTCGGTCTAAATCTCCAAAGAAACTGTTACTATGTACATTGTTCAATATATCTGGGCTTAGAGTGGAATCTTCTGATTTTGCGACCATAATTTCCTTTGGTTGTAAAGTATTACCTACGTCAGAATCATTTGGTTTCAGTGTCGTTTCTAAATGCATATCCGTTTTCATTGTAATAACAGAATCCATTGATTGTGTGTCGAGTGGATTTGTGGTATTCATTTGATCGTCATCTAATCTTGGAGACCTTGTAACAATTTCATCGTGATTTTCCTCTTTATGTTCGTGGTAAGATTCACCGGTGTGCAGAATATTGACCAAAGTATCGTTTTCAATTTCTGGTAAGAACGGGGACATAATTTCTAAATGATTGGTGTTTTCAGTGGGTTCAGTCAACAGCAATTGTTGATGAGATTCTGTTATGTTAAGTTTAGATTCTGTCGATGTTTCATTAATCATTTCAGTGGCATCATCTTTTGGCATTTTTGTAGTTACTTCGAAACTATTTGCAGTGTGTGATACTTCATTGTATTGTTCCGTATCGATATGATCGTGTTCTTCACTTACGATGACAGGTATTTTATGTAAAAATTCAGTAACTGTTACTGGTTCAATCGTTGTTGGTTTCATTTCGATATTGGTATTATCTACATTTTCGACTACAGAATCCTGAGTAGTCATAGTCATTACATTCACAAAATTATCAGAATTCGTTGACGATTCTATAAGAGACGAAGTTTCATTTTCTACAGTAATTCCATTTTGCTCATTATTTTCTAAGATTACAGGCATCATAGTTGTTTCCAAAACGACTTCAGTTTTTGGCATAACAGTTTCTGTTTGCATTGAATCTGTAGTTTCTACATGTTCTTCCATAATTGGCATCGAAGTAGTAATCACAATTTCTTCAGTTTTTATAATTATTTCTGAATCATTCTCAGACTTGACCATAACCGATTCATTATGCATTTTCATAATTGGAATCATTGTAGTCTCCACATGTTCTACAGACTTTCCCATAGTTGTTGTAACAATAGTTTTCTCTGTGGAAGGTATTATTGTAGTTTCAGGATGGTCCATGATTTCTGGAATAATAGTTGTTTCAGTTTGTTCTACAGAAATAAGCTTATTGTCTGAATCTACGTGTTCTTCGCTATTAATTGCATTTGTCGTTTCTGGGAAAAATGTAGTTACAACAAAATCTTTCTCCGTTGTTGAAATTTTGTTAATTACATTCAATTCATGTTCCAAATTTGAATTAACTTCAGGCATTGGCGTGGTTTCAATATTCATAGTTGTGGTCATTTCAATTTTATTATCCGTACTTGCTTCCATTTCAGATGATTTAGGTTTAATTTCAGTTGTGCTATCTGTTGTTGAATCTTCATCAGAGCGAATTGTAGTTTCTATTTCATTGGTTTCTTTATGATGTTCCAGAGGAACAATATTTGACATGTCCTTAATATCTTTTTCAGTTACAATTTCAAGATCTTCTGAGTCATCGTTTAATTTACTTTGCCTTGGAGATTGATCATGTTGCATGGTGGTAGTCTCGAAAACTATATTTTCATGAGAAATTGTATTAATTGTAGTTTGATGCTTTTCATCTTCGTTTTTCATGTTGGATGTTGGCGTCGTTTCTGGATGCACTATAATATTGTTTACGATCTTCAATTCAGTAGAATTTTCAATGTTTATGTTAAGTTCTGGTTCTGGTTTTGGTTCAGCAGTTGGCACTGGTTCTGATTCTGGTTCCATAGTTGTCATCATTTGTTCTGGTTTTGGTTCTTCAGTTGATTCATGTTTCGGCTCTGCAATGAGAATTTGTTCAGTCTTTGGCACTACTTCCAGGCTCGGCTCCGGTGTTGGTTCTGGTTCAGAGGTTGGTTCTGGTTCGGAGGTCGGTTCTGGTACGGAGGTGGGTTCCGAGATTGGTTCCGGTTCAGCAGTTGGTACTACTTCTTGTTCATCAGAATGAGGTATCATTGTAGTTATGTGCTCTGTAGTTGTTGGTAATTCTACAATGGATGCATGTTTGTTTAATTCTGAGTGAGAATTTGGTTCTGGCGTTGGTTCAGTTTCATTCTTTTGTTCTGGTTGTGGTTCTGCATTGGGTTCTGGTGTTGGTTCAGCTTCTGCAGTAATTTCTGCTTCATTTAAATGATTGGATTCTGGTTCTGGTTCAGATTTAGGTTCGGGAGTTGGCTCAGGTTCCGCCGTAGAATCAGGTTCTGTACTAATCTCCAGTTGTTTTTCCAATCCATATACGTGTTCATGGGTTAATACTGATTCGGGCATGGGTTCTGATTTTGGTTCAGTGGTAGTTTCAGGTTCTGGTTCGGAAATAGGTATATGTTCAGTTGCTGACTCTGGTTCTGGTTCCGGTTCGGATTTTGGTTCATGAGTTGATTCCGGTTCTGGTTCTGGTGTTGATTCAGGTTCAGGTTCCGGTTCTGTCGTATATTCTTTTTCTACATAAAGATGATGCTCAGATTCCAAGTTTTCTTTGTGGACGAAGTCTTGTTCTTGATTCGATTGAGGTTCCGGTTCCGGAGTAGATTCTTCTTCAACAATTACTCCAGGTTCTGGCTCAGATTTGGGCTCAGGTTCAGGTTCTGATTTAGGTTCTGGTTCAGATGTAGCTTCTGGTTCAGGTTCAGAGGTAGGTTCTGGTTCTGGCTCAGATTTGGGTTCTGATTCAGGTTCAGATGTAGGTTCTGGTTCAGGTTCAGATTTGGGTTCTGGTTCAGGTTCAGATTTAGGTTCTGGTTCAGGTTCAGATGTAGGTTCTGGTTCTAGGCTCAGATTTGGGTTCTGGTTCAGGTTCAGATTTAGGTTCTGGTTCAGGTTCAGATTAGGTTCTGGTTCAGGTTCAGATTTGGGTTCTCAGGTTCAGATTTGGGTTCTGGTTCAGGTTCAGATTTAGGTTCCGGTTCAGAAGTTGGTTCCGGCTCAGGCTCAGATTTTGGTTCAGGTTCGGGTTCTTCAGTGGATGGTTCCGGGTGTGAATGAATTTCATGCAGATGGGCAGTAAAATCGACATCGGTAACATCTTCTTCCATTGGTTCTTGAGTTGTTACAACTTCATGCATATGATGATGATTGTGGTCGTGATGATGATTGTGATGTTCATCATGATCATAGTGATCATGGGTTTCCACCATTTGCACGCATTTCTTTCCATCAATATCTAAATTATGGCCCTCTGGACATCCACAAACAAAGTCCATTCTGTTGTAATCGAACATGCATGAGTTCTCGCATCCGTTATTATCGATTTTGCACATATCAATTATTTTATCTGCAACAATAGTCTTTTCCGCTATCCTGTACTTATCCATGAAACCGGAATTTTTAAACAGCATTTGTGTAAATTTGTTCTTCAAACTCTTTGGATCAATTGGGTCTCTATTGTTTTGTCCATCTTCGTTAAAAGTCCATCCAATTCTGTACCTCACAACAATGCTGCCAGGCCTATAAATTATAATGAGAACCATAATTAAATTAGTTAACAACTAATATATTAATTAATTTACTTACATAAATTCTAAAACTTTTACTTCAATGTTGGAAGAATCGGAATCTCTTGGAAAAAGACTATTTTTAATTTGATTTTCTAAAATTGCAGCCATTTCTCTGAATTCAGAGCTATTCGCATAAGCAAGTTCAGGTTGGAACTGAAGATTATCTATAACAAGTTGTCCTTCTAATGCCCTTGGAACTAAAATAGCAGAGAGTAAGTTTAAAATAATGGTTCTTTACTATTTCATTGTTTGAAATACCTTGTATCATGGTCGTGTCTGTCGCTATGTTCGTTGGTAAAGTGCTGCTAGAGGGTCCTGGTGTATATGGTTTTTCATCATCTCCAACTCCAAATAATCCTCCAGCTGATTTGATCGGTTTCGTTGAGTCGCTAAATTGTCGTGCACTGATTTCGGTAATAGGTTGGGCATCGTTGCTACCAATCATTCCAGCTAAAAATATTGAAATATTTAATTTATATTATAATATTTAGTGGAATTTCTTCAAATTCCATATAATCTTTGTCGCATTAATATTTCAACGTATGCAATGTTGTATGTACCAATACTAAGAAAGACCAGGAAACTGAGTCATCTCAAAGTGTCTTTAACCCGTTGACCTCTTGTGAATTCCAATGGCAAAGATTGAAGAAATTAATAGAATGATTGCATCTGCGAATTCGCCTACGATCGGTTTCGCATTGAATGAATAAAAGGTAAAAGTGATGTAATATTTTTGAGACTGCATGTAAAAGAAAAAGTGTAAGCGCTCCGCTCGTTTTCCTTGAAACGATATTTGCAGGGCGTTTACTGGAACTGGGCCACCATTGTTAGTTCTTTAAAATAATTAAAATCATAATTAGTGATACTTACTAGCAACTAAGATTCCAACAACGACTAAAGCCGCAACGATGGACAAGCAGATTCCCCAGCAGAGGCACTTGTTCCTCTTCTTTTTGTTTCTTTTGTCCATCGTAATGTACAGCTTCTCTCCTCTAGAAAATAGATACTGAATAGTGCATGGTTCTATTTCGTTTTGTATTTATTTGAATCGGAATGATACGTTTGATGTAAAACAAGAGATAATCCAAAAAAATAAAAATAAAGCAAGGTGAGCACCAGGCATTATACCAACACCCATTCAAGCCATCTTTATACCATGATTATTAAAGCGCACGAAAACAATTTGTGGCAAATTAGGCGATTCTTTTCTTTGATTCTTAAATGATACAACAAAAAAAATAATAATATGGCATTTATGAAAGAATGTTGGTATATGTACCGTGTCCTTTCTAAAGCTGTTAACCATGCGGGGTATTCTAAAATTCCGCGCTCTGGATTCGTCACTGACAAACCGAAGTCGTCAATTCCAGCTGTTGCGACTGACTCGGCGAATGTCACGCTATTTCTACCCTTTCTGGTGGAACTGGTCCCAAAAAAATAATAAAATTATAAGAACAATCGGTCCGCGCCTAATTGCTTTACTACAAGACAATTCAATTGGCCCACAAAGATTGCATTTTTTACAGCAATCATCGGGTTTTGTTTTACGATTCGATTTGATCCACCTACCTCATGTACTTTCGATGCTCGTTGACCGGGACGAAGTACTCGTCGTAGGGATTTCCTATTTCAACATCCGTCTCCTTTTTCACTGGTATACTATTAACACCGTTCTCGTACGGTCCGGTGACGTCCTTCCCATTGCTCGGTTTCAGATTGATCAACTCCAGGTTAACAGCTTCAGCCATTTGGTCGTCGCCTTTGGTCGGTGATGTAAAATTGGTGGCGTTGTTCAAATCGCCGTTCGGGTGCTTCTCCTCGTCTTGGTGGAAAGCCGGATTATCTACACCTAATTTCTTGGTAGTCTTAGGTGTAGTCGCGTTCAAGAAACTGGTACTGTTGTACTTCTTGTTGAGCTCCTCTAAATTACTATGGTTTTCGAGGCTTTCGTTTATGTTCAGGTTCGCCGTCGACTTGTAATGAGGCAGTTTCGGACTCTTCTCCGGCTTCTCATCGTAGTTCACCGGCAGAGTAATTTCGTTTTTATGATAAAACTGATTATCTCCGGTTTTCGCTGATTGAGAAGTCGGATCCTCGTGTGGGGAATTCTCGTGGCTCGTTTCGATCGAAGAGTTGTTATCAATGCCGGACGTCGAATCCTGAGCCGTATCGCTCCCACCGTAACTGCTGTCAGCATCCATTTTCTACAAAAAAAAAGAAAAATCTCACTTAGCAAAACTTTATTGTAACACACGTTTTCGTTTCTAAACATTGTTTTATTTACATGTACTTTGAAATCATTATAAAACAAACCAAACCATAATAATCACGTTCTTTTTGGAATTTAGCAAACGTTCGTCCTTGTTTCGAAACTACTTTAGGAAGTGGTTGATCTTTCCGTGCATTGCAAATCTGCATTTTCGAATAGTCGGATCTACTGTCGTCTCTTTGAATGCTGTTTTCCTAATTTTTCGATGTAGTAAGGCACGATTCATAATTACACGTGAGAGAGACAAGTGAATACAATCGCTTGGAAATTTTAAGGAACTGCAGTCCGTGGCTTTCATAATTATGCATGTACACGTACATTTACAAACGGTTTTCTGTTCCTTTCGTTGTTTGGTTTTTGCAGATGGAGCCAAGGCGAACGGGTTTTATTTCACTCTTCACCCGAGGAGTCGTTCAATTGGAAATTTCTAAATGTGATCGCTGATTGAAACACAATAATCGGACAGCAAATGATCCAGTAACACGCGGATTCGTATCTATATAAATCGCCGTTTGGGTTTATCCAACTCATAATTCCAAACGTATTTACCCGTAAGAATAATTTCAATAATAAAATCGTCAGAAAATTATTGATTTATTAATGAATCATCATTACGATTTAACGTAGCTTTGCTATCAACACCATTATAAAGCGTTGAACCCGCATGCAGATAAAAATACAAAAGAAAAACAAATAGTTAATTGATAGTAGATACGTGCGTTTTTCTTTGATAATATTAGCAATTAATCAAAAGTTATTTAAAATGAGAATAATTTGCACAATTTGCTTCCTTAAAAATCAATTCCGTGCGCGTATGTAGAGATAACATAATGACCCGCAGTTATGAATATATAGAATTATCAATTACATTCGTCATATCTTGATAATAATTAGCCCTTTGTGTAATGAAATAATTAAATATTTTAGTAATTGGAAAATAAGTTATTTATGGAAATCCTATTGGTATTTGTTTCCGCAATTTATTTATAGTAGAAAGTGATTTAATAGAAATTTGCTATAAATCCTTGAAACGTCCTTTGCAATGCCGATATCCAATTTCCTATTGCTTTATTTGCAATTCATCCGAGTCGCATAACAATGCAACACGTCAGAAATTTCGGTTACTTAAATAAGACAAATAAATTGTTTTGTGCTTACTAATATAATAACAACCGCATAATTTTCATTTTGAGATGACAATTTGCTTCGTTCTGTCGTTTACAACATAATAATCTTCGAGGCAGGACTTTCCAATGTATTCCTTAGGGGGCAATTAAAATAATATATCTTAGGAAATCCACTGCAACCGTTCATTGAAATTCCATTCGTAAACGCGATGTACCGGCAATTTCATCAGTCATTTATCATTCAAATCCACGAACTAGGCAATAAGTTTATGCACCGTGTACAATAGGTGCGAAAAAACAATGATGAAATTAAGCGTTACAAAAATAAAAATATAAATTCCGAAGCGCGCTCCTCTCCAAACTCTTACATCACAGCAACAACTTTGAGTACAATACAAAATATTCCTCGTCATTAAAGTGTCACTTGTACGATAACGTTAATTGCTGCTTAATTGCTATTAACAATTTAATCAAACTATAATTAAGCGCTCTAAAAACGAAAGGAGATTATTCCATTCAATTAATCTCGTTCGTCCGATGACCGCAAAACCTAAGTAGTTTCCATTAGTTTAAAATTAAATGTGACTCACACGGATTTGTCTGCGCAAATATTTTTTTAAATCTAGGCTGAGTCACCACAGGTAAAAAGATGTGTTTATTTCGCGGAATTCCAAACCGAATATAAGAATAAACACGATGTTTTTCCTCGAAGAAAACGAACGAAATGACGTCTTTCGAATATTATTTTGCAAATGGAACACTTTCCATCTTGCAATTGTCTCTTGATATTTCAATATAAGAGATCTCGTCTTTTTACTAATGAGTTTGCTAACTTTCGTGCCGTTTTTAATGAGATTAAATACAATTGCTTTCTTACGGAATCCATTCAATTATAATATTCGAAACTTCATTTAAATATTATCATTGTTTTTCTTTATATATTGCAGATCTCATTAAATTAAATGATAAACTGTTTTTAATAATATGATTCGATGATGAACAGAAGAAATTTTCTCAATAATCGTATGCGAAGGTAATAATAAAATCGATAATAAAAGTGAAAGGTAACAATTGTGTATTCCATTTGATTACCCTAATTATTATAACTGTACAGATACAATGCGCATTACTTTCTAATATTTAGTGGTATCACACTTATCCAGATAGTAAGTTCCAACTCTTAATATATTGTTTATCGTTTGTTATTATAGCAAAATTATATGTATACGAATTAATTGATCAATAAATATTATAAAATTATTTAATCCAAGAAAAAAAAACTAAATTTTAATTGACAAAATATAAATAAATTGTAAAAAAATAGTACACAAATTATTAAATTTTGCACTTTTTCATTCTATACAATCAAGTAATGAGGTGTAACATTTGAACAGTGAAATTTGTTATTGAAAAATAACAAAGTAAACATGTTTGGCTGTATTACTTCTATAATTGCCAATTTTGGTATATTTTTATTAATTAATTGTAAGACTGAAAACTTGAAAAACATATTATTTTAATTTGAAGAAACTAATTGAATATTGTTTGATTTATTGGAAATAATGAAATAAAAAAAAATGTTATAGTTTATCCAGAAATTAAGTTCCACTTTTCTTAAGAAGTTAATTTATAGTTTTACATATACAGTGGAACATCGCTTAACGAGTTTAATCCGTTCCAAAATTTCCAGATTTTTACTCATATTATGAAACAAATTCAAAAATAAACATGATATGTGTACACAAGTTTAAAAAATGATGTAGCAGGCGTGCAATCTGGGACTTATATTCTTATCGTCACTCGTTATGCGAAACGTCGCTCGTTAAGCGAGTCATTTTTATTACAATTCATTTTGCTCGTTAAGCGAAATCTTCGTTATGCGAGGTGCTTGTTAAGCAAAGTTCCATTGTATACATTTTAAAAATATAATCTAACGCTGCTTAAATTAATTTATTTAATAATAAAATAAGTAATTATGGATCATTGATCTTGATTGTTTGAAGCTTATTAATTACTGCGGTATTTTTAGAACCTGATGTAATTTCTATAAGTTGATTATCACTAAATATTCTACAATGCAGCGTGATTCAAAGAATGAATCTTCGAATGAAAATGTGATGTGACCAAAATATTAATTAGAAATACCAAAGTTTTAAATACTGTGATTATAGAAATAATAATCAACAGTAAAATAAATGTACGTGAATGTAGATTTTTGTTGATATTAGATGAATTATATGAATGATAGGTTACTATACAATAAGGTTTTATGTAATAAATAGTTATATCATTAAAGGTATTTAGAATCGTGTACGATTTGCGTTATGTGAGTCAGATCGATGTGAAAATTGATAAATAAGCGTGAACGGGATTATATGTGAATATTGTGGAGAGAACTGCTGATGTTAATAAAGAAATTGCATCTTGTTCGGTGTTCCAGTCAACAGTACACTCTTTGTTTTCAATCGGAATAACTAGTTCTGCGATTGTCGGCTCTGACGCGATAGTAGTCACAACAATGGCAAAGGCAGAGTAATAACTCACGAAGCGAGTGTACGTATATATTATATATATATGTTGCGAACATTAACCCTACGGTTGAGGCCCAGACCCAGAGAAGAGGAGAATAATGGATAACCGAGCCAGTATAGCCATAATAATAATTGTGAGTGGGTAGTTGTGCAATTACCGCAACGGACCTTAACAGCTTCAGACATCCTACCAACAAAACTTTGTTATCCTCTACTCCGAACTCACATACACACTTACACACACAAGCACAATCGTGCTTCGAATATAAACAAAAAGCAATCACAACTCGAAACACACTCACATACACACGACGAACACGATGTTATTAACTATTTTTTTCTCTCTTTTTCCTTTCCTATTCCTATAAAAATGTACACAATACTCAATAAGGGATTTTATAGACCTATATCAGTCGTAAAATTGTTGAAATTGAAAGCGCAGAACTAAACGCTCTTTGTTTCTGCCAATTTCTTTTGCTCACATTAACAGAAAATAAAAATAATCTTACATAATAATCATACAGGTCGTTGATCACGTAAATTTCCTTAATTTTTCATAGAAAATAACAGCAACAAAAGTAAATCTCGTAGAATGAAGTAATTATCGTCGAAAATTAATTGAATTTACTTTCTTGCATTAATTATGGCTCCGCAACGACATAAGAATTTAACACTTTTTGATTTTATGCTCGATAAACACTTTCTAATTAATCTCCGCAGAAGAATGTTTAAAAAAAACGTAAATTTTAAATATTTCCGTCTTTCGTAACTTTTATAAGGATGTTAAAGCATCTTCCGTAAAATATTCGTTTTTTTTTTCATATACATTTGCTTTCAATAAACCGATTATTTTCTAATAGTTTTGTCCCATTGAGGTCTCATTTTTCATTCTGAAGCGTGCCGAGAAACGATCAAATAATTTACATAATTATTATAGCCTGAAGGTAATAACTGTAACGCACTTTCACTTATTGGAATACCAGACTTTTAATTACTAAAAAACATACAAAAGAATCAAAATAATGAGATGAATTACGAAAGAACGTTTGGCATTACTTATTTATAAAAAAACATCTTTGTTGTGTTTTTCATGGGGACATTATAATAAAGAATCAAAATAACGAAATTACTTTTTTTCTACGTAAATATAGTTAAAGAATTGAAAATGTATGCTATTTCTATGTAAAATTATCTTTGTTTAATTTTCTACGTTATAAAAAATAATGAGGTAAATTTCGAAAGGATTTATTGCAGATTTACGTTATTTATATGCAAAA